TCGAACTCAGTCGTCCTTATGGTGTAACGGTGATATACTTATACGGGTTTTTTAAATCGGATAAAAATTATGACCTCTATAGGGTCCACAATACAATCAGGGGCCATAATTCAGGAAGTTACAGTCCGATGTGCGCGAATATCGAATGGAACCGAGATCTTTGGGTTATAAACTTATATTTCAAAATTCAACAAAATCGGATGAAAATTGTGACCTTTATAGGGACCACAAGCCAAAAACGTGATTTTACGTACAAACAGGGACCATAATCCATGAAGTTTAGATCCGATACATGCAAATATCGAAAGCAGCCGAGATCTTTTGGAGATACACCTATATTTCAAGTTTCGTTAAAATCGGATAAGAATTGTGACCTGTAGAGTGTCCACAAACAAATTGTGGACGGACGGACGGATAGGGGCGACGGCATAATATGTCCACATGAAAATGTGGGCGTATAAAAATGGGTAAGGCTCTTCCCCCTGGAGGGTTGGGTAATCACCAAAAAACATTAGGGGTATTCTTAGGGTGTAAGGAATAGGTATGCAAAGTTTCAAAAGGATCTGTTAAGAATTGTGGCCTGTAGGCGACACAAAAGACACACAAACATTTGGCGTGGCTCTGTCCCAGGGGGTCTGGCATGCACCAAAAATAATAGAGGTCAGCCTTAGGGTATAAGGAATAAGTATTAAAAAAGTTTTCAATACGATCGATTAAGCATTGCGGGCTGTAAGTGACATACAGACACACACAAAAAAATGGGCATGGCTCTGCCCCTGGGGGTTGGGCATTCACCACAAACAATAGGGATGTTCCTTAGGATAGAAAGAATAAGTATAAGTGGTTTTGGGTATGCACCATCAACGATCGGGATGTTTCTAGGGAACAAAGAATAAGTATGCAAAGTTTCAAGATGATATGTTAAAGGGACAATAACACTCTTGCTGGCTTGACAGCTCCAGAAAATAAATAATAGCCTTATTCTAAGTATTAGATGTTTAAGTGTCCTACCTGTTATGTAAGTTATCCATTACATCCTATTTTAATTGTCCGGAAGGTTCGAAAATATTTTTAAATCCAAGTCACATTCGAAAAGGTTTACGTTAGGCTTTTAAAATCATTTAGTTGAATTTGTCCAATTTTTTAAATTAGGTGTGTTAAGATGAAATTTGTATCATCAATTAATTGGAATGTTGTAAAATAGTACAATTTGTTGACTAGAATAAAGATTGGGGCATAAACAAATACAAAAATGGGCGTGGCTTTGCCCCTGGGGATCGGGAATGCGCCAAAAACAATAGGGATCATCTTTAGGGTATAAGGGATAAGTATGTAAAGTTTAAAGATGATCATAAGAATTGTGGCATGTAGGCAACACACAGACACACAAAAAAAATATGGGCGTGGCTCTGCTCCTGGGGGTTGGGCATGTTCCCCAAACGATAGGGATTTTCCTTATGGTATAAAGAATAAGTATGCAAAGTTTCAACATGATATGTTAACTATTATAGTTATCGAATCTCCTATAATTTATCTTTAACATAAACTCTGATATTAACTTATACTTTTAAGATATTAACTTAAACTTTTAAGATATTAACTTAAACTTTTAAGAACTTAAATTTTTTAAGATATTAACTTAAACTTTAAAGATATTGACATAAACTTTAAAGATATTGACATAAACTTTAAAGATATTAACATAAACTCTGATATTAACTTAAAGGAGCTTAAACTTTTAAGATATTAACTTAAACTTTTAAGATATTAACTTAAACTTTTAAGATATTAACTGATATTAACTTAAACTTTTAAGATATTAACTTAAATTAACTTAAACTTTTAAGATATTAACTTAAACTTTTAAGATATTAACTTACATTTTCAAGATATTTACTTGAAACGAAAGAATTCCGTTGTCTTTCATATAAAAACGAGATATTTTTAGAATAAAATTCCCGTTTATGGAACATTTGTTTATGACACATTGATGTCAAACGACAATTCATCAATCTAAATGTTAAAAAGATTTTCATAACATGATGATTTTAACTATTATGTATGTTTATTCGATATATTACTTGTATGCAATACACTGTTTAAGTTAAGCGTGGGATCGTCCTTGAACATCAGTAGTATGCAAAGGGTATACAGTGGGATCTAGTATAACTAAGATGTGTGGATCAAAATGTTAATAACAAAACCCAGTCTTTCATATTGAGTTCTTTAATACAATTTGGAAAAGTGCAGATCACTAACTATATTCCACAAACTATATTTCCCCACTGGGGAAAATCATCGGCAATAAGGAAATCAAAAAATTTGCTCCAGATGGGTCCCGATGTTTTTGCCCAAAAAAACGGAGTAGTCCCATGAGAAATTTAACTTATTAAGCATCGGGCGTGGTCTAGTGAGTGTGCACTGATGCTTCCGCTATGGTCACAAACTTCTGGGAATGCCCCCAAGCAATTGCTGTGAATCATCAGGGATGGCTTCCAATAATCGAGAAAGCTCCGGGGTACCTTCGCCGATAATTAACATCATCGGGTGAATTTTCATGTCGGGAGATCTCGGTATCTTGCGTGGTTACATATCGGCGGCACTTATGCCTCTATCCAACTGGGTATTTTTTGCGTCGATGATATACTACCGATGGAAATTGATGATCCCCAGGAGACCCCGGGAAAGCTTTGATGTGTTCCCAATGTTTTGTTGGGAAAACTGGCCGGGGAGGCATCCCGGCAGCTTTCCAGGTCCATGGGGAAGCTCTGGAGATGCTTCCCTAGAGCAGTGAAGCTTCAGCAAAACATTTTTTTCCCGAAACTTCGGTGATGCCTCGGGAAGCTTCGGGGTTGTCGTGTGCCCTATGGAACCATCGGGAGGCCTCGGGATAACTGCGAAAAATTCTGAAGCTTGTATTGGAAATTTTTCCAATGTCTTCCCCTAGCCATCCCTGATTTAAATATCCTCATTACCTCAGCATGGATGACGGATGCTTCGGTAATAATAATAATAATAATAATAAAAACTTTATTTAATGAGGCAACGTATTTAGTTTGCAAAAAAAACAACTAATCTTCCATAGGTCCCTCCTAAACTACAAAGACATATATACATGTAATATCAGGATAAATTTAAAATCATTAGAAATGCAATAGCATTTTAAAGTGGGAAGTTTGATAAGTCACTCCCAAACTACAAAACATATACATTATACAAGTAGAATATAGGAAGAACACTATAATTACACACAAAATAAAATAGAATGCAGTTGCAAGTTAAAAATAATAAGTATGTCATCAGTTGAATATTATGGTTCCTTCAGTGTGTAAAATAAATGAGTTTTCAGTTTAATCTTAAAATTTTCAACATTTTTACACATCTTTATATCAAAAGGCAGATTGTTCCATAAAAGACATGCAGAATAATGAAAAGTACGTTTCATGGATTCCGTTTTGCATTTTTGAAGAAAAAGAGATTTACTGGTCTGTGAACGGAGCAAGATATCCGTTTTAGAAACAAGAGATTTTTCAATAAAATGGAAATTTAGATAAAGTGGAGTATTAAATGTAATAATTTTGAATGATAAGACAATTTTATTGTAAAGAATCCTCTGTGTAAGGGTAAGCCAACCGAGTTTAGTAAATAAAGAGGTGGACGGAGTTTCAATCGGTGCATCAAGAATAGCTCTTGCTGCCCTCTTTTGTAATTTTAAAAGAATGTCTAATCTACTTTTGGTAGCATTTCCCCAAATAATAGAGCAATAATCAAATATTGGTAGTATGTAACTGTTATAAAACAAAATTCTTGTCTCGTAAGGTAAATGATCTTTTATCTTATTTAGGAGAAATATTTTTGATGCAAGTTTTTTAGACATATCTGCTATCTGTGCTTCCCAATTAAGGTCTTGGTCAATTTGAATTCCAAGTAATTTTGCGGTAGTAACCGTCTCAATTTTCTCACAAATATTTCGCGGAAGCTCCAGGGAAGCATCCCCAGATTTTCCTTGTAGATCTGAAAAGCTCCGGGAATGCCTCCCAGACCTGTTTTACTGACAATGCCTCCCGGTGAGTTCACGTGGCTCACAATGCCTCAGGAGCTCCCCTGAGACACCGGGAAACCTGATCCCAACGCCTCCAGAGGCTCACCAATTTATATCTGTAGTTCATTCGCAAGGCAAAAAATTGGTCTGTGGTACCTACGCATTATATTTAAGACAGTTGTAAGTGGCTTAACAAGTGTCACTACTTGAAACTGCACGACTTATTAATATTTCAATTGTTGAAATATATTTTTTTATACTTAATATTTCAGCAATAATCTTATATGTTACGCCAGGTAAAAACTTCGAAACTTCAGTCAGAAGTAATATAATGACTAGATGGTTTTATTTTTAATATCGAACGGGTTGAAAACGGTTATTAAGTATAGATATGGCAGAAATAATAACTTGTTTCTCCCACGTGACCATATATGATGTGTATGGTAGAAATCGGTTAACCGAGGACTTGATACTCTCGCTGTCCAATAAACACTAACCGCGGACCTGATACACACAATAATATTTTTCCGTTTTCAGATCACACACACGAAAGATACACCATAATTGTAGAATACCGCCTAACGCGGAGCACCTCAGATCAACCTTAAAATCAAATGGGATATTAAATCCAGGCTTCTGAACACCGTCACAGTCTTGGATTTAGTCCAAAAAGTCCTTGGTTGAACCGAGGACGTCCTCTGTTGACACAGGTCCGCGATTAGAAGGTGTGTATTCAGATGTGTGTCCTTGATATACACCATTATGCAAACGCACACACACCCACATAGACAGAGGAGACGGCAATATACGTTATGAATGTCGACGTATAAAAATTGTGTCCACAAAAAAAGTGAATGGACAGAGGGGTGGGAGGGGAGTGGACAACATGAAGTGTGGGCCTGTAGTATAAAAAAAATATTCATCACTAAATATTAATGGCACAAGTAATTAATCTTACCTAGAATTTTTGATCTCTGTACAAGTAAATTATTTGATCCTTTTATAACATTGCTGTTACTGACAAGGGAAGTCTTTGACCTTTCAGCTGATGTATCGCCTGTCATAGCTGCACTGGATTTCTGTGCATACATTTGATCTTCTATTTGATCACCACCTTCAACAGAGGCACCTGCCCCCATCTTCAATTTTCTAAAAACAAGCAAACAGTGAGGCTGATGTGCCCCGCTGAAATCCCAAAATAAATAAATGACACATTAATTAATAGCACATTAATTTTGTTCAAAAGTTTCAAGCAATCAAACTGATTATCAACTATACGCTAAGTTTCATCCCTCTCTATCAGATAGAATCAAAGTTATCTTGTCCCAAAGCATCGACCAATTAAATTGCTTACCTCTGCTTAGCTTTAGCTCGAAATGTTAATCATTGAACTCAGTCAAGACATTTACCCAATGAACATCTACATCGAGTTTAAACATTCTACCTCAATTAAAAGCAGATGTTATGTTCCAAAGTCTGGACCAATCAAATTGCTTACCGCTCCTTAACGTAAGCAGAAAATTCTCATCATCGAACTTAGTGAAGGTAATGAATCTATACTCGGGGGTTTCATCACTCTCACCGATGTGGTTACTTGTATAGTTGAATTTTACAACATATGCTTACATTCGTATTTCTTGTAGCATATAGCAGATCATGACTCATGCTGGCATTACACAATGGTTTCTTGCAAGAATTACACATCAAGACAAAAAAAAAAAAAATCTTTGATATTTACTTCATTTCATACTTTATGGCAATCCGTATATTGATGTACATCGAAAAATTTTCACTGATAAATAACTCATTATTTCATTTGTTTATTGAGGAAAAATTAATATTGCTTAAAGTAAAAACCAGGGGTGAAATTGAAGTTGAGATGTTATTCAATGTGTATAAATCAAGAAAATCTGTCAAATATCAAGCCTTTTCTTTACACCTTGCGTTGAATAAGCTTATTGTCATGTGTAACGTATGTAACAAAATGGATATACTAGTTTAATTAAATGAACCATTTTTTGTTTAAAATCACTATTATTTCAAATCTTCTAAATTTAGTGCCAGTATATTCAGAAAATAACATTGTCATCAATCAAATGTTGCTTAAGTAAAAATGAAAACCCAATTAAAATTGTGTCCCATGAGCTCTTTTAATTCAAAGACTAGTTGTGAAAGTGCAGATCAAAAACCCATTGATTAGAAAAAATTATTTTTAAGTACTTTTATAACTTTTTCTACTTTTCCATGTTCCAAATGGGTTCAGAAAAGAATTTTTGTAAAAAATTGATTGTTTTTTGTTTTTTTAAGTCAAATATCTTGTGGAACTCGTGTACAAAACACCACAGACCAGAAACACTCTATCAAAGTAATTCTAAGTTGAAAATGTTAATAAAATTTATTTAGTTGAACTTTTCATTTTTGTACAACTCCAATATCTTGTGGAACTCTTGTGGTGAAAAATTCCACACAAAAGCCCTGAAACCTTGCCATATAAATGAACAGATTTACATATGCCCTATAGGCTTATACAGACAATTTTCCAGGGGAAATCACTGATTTTGCAACGATGGGGGGATTATAAGGTAATGCAAAGAGGAGCAAGATAAAAACTTGTAAAGTGGCCACTTGTATACTAATTTACTGAAATAAATAAGCTTATAATCTACTAGAATCTACTAGGTAAATGACCAATTTCATAGTCGTAATTTCTAACTTCCTGGGAGGGTCTTAAAATAGTCGTTAAAAATATTACAGGTTATAGGCCTGAATCATCTGTTAGTATACCAAAATATATAAAGTTGTGTATGCACAGCAAAATGGTAAAACAGCACGACAGTCATAAAGTTCAAATCACAGACTTTTGGACTTGAAATTTAGTGGTATAAAATTTTGTCTTTTGTGATGTAACATACGTAACGGCAACATTTTCGTCTTGAAGAGACAATGACAATGGCAATGGGAAGTAGTAATAGTGAGATTTGTACGTTTATGGTATATATTTCTCAATTTTTAGTAAATTTGTATGAATATCGGTAAAATTCTAATTATCTCAACAAATCTAATACGAAGAGGCTAAAATCTGTAGGTACGGTGTGTTAATTAACAGGGGTGAGAAATTGACTGAAAGGTGATATAATTATCACTAGGGGTGAAAATCTTGGCAACGGTGCGTTTTCTGTACTGGTGTGTTAATTAACGAACGGGTTAAAACGACACTGACACGGTGTGTATTCTTTGTTTGGTGAGTTTTCTCGAAAGCGTGTTATAACTGCAGCAAAGGTGATTTATCAAGGACCAGCAGGCTTTATCTGATGCGTAGGTGTTAAATCCAATTTATCGTGCGATTTCTTGTTCGACCGTGTGTTTTACACAGATCGGTCTTTGTGAAGCGTAGGTCATTTATACGCGGGGTAGTTACGTATATGCGTTCTTTTACATATTTCATGTCTTGATGAATACTACGTGTTTTGTACTTCGTACCATAGTCGGACTGCGTTTATTTAAATATATTTGATCTTTTTTGTGGGTTTAATTTGTTTACAAATTATCGTGCGTACCACTGAATTATAAATGCTCGTATCTTAAATTGATCACACGCAGTACCGTCATTTCTCGATATCATAACCAACCTCATTTTGATTTTCCAATATATTCTAATCTCCATTGATATCAGATTAACGAATCTTGTTTCGAAAACAAGTTTATAAATGTAAAATTGCACAATTAATGAAAATCTGTAAGTTTTCGGCACTGCTATATTTACTACGCGTTGGCGTATTAATATAGGACTACCAAGAAAAAGTAATTCCCTCACTATATATAACAAATGATAACTCACATATCAAATAACACTAATGAAAATAGGGACATGCGCCCGCTTCCACCCACGGTGATATTGCCCATTGCCGAACATTATTTAGATTCGATCGAACTCTGCTAACAAGCTTGTCTTTGAAAGAACAATACTGATATATGACCTAATATTGAGACGCTTGTTCATATAGCCGCTTGTTTTCCATTGAATGAAATAGCTTTATTATTTGACTCCACAGTACTAAGAAACTACAGGTTCTGTGTCGGTTCGTGCACGCTTTTCACACGCAGAACTGTTCTTTGATGTTGAGAGGTCGTGACACACAGCTCTGCCCTTTGATGTTGAGAGGCGAGTTGTGTCTCATGCTCGAATTGATTAGCTGATAAAGTTGGTTGGAATTGTTACAGTTTATTTCAATAAGTACAACAACCAGCGACTGCCAGGCAGGATACGCCCACATTTTCGAGAGATGGATAGAGAACAAGCTAAAAAGAAAGTGATTTTTCCTACAATCAAGGGCCATAATTCAGGAAATTACAATTCGATATGTGCAAATATCGAAAGGAACTGAGATCTTTGGGTTATAAACTTACATTTCAAGTTTCAACAAAATCGGATAAAAACTGTGACCTCTATAGGGTCACCAACCTTGATATACCATATTTTTACGCTATTTGAGAACGAACGGCAGTCATTTTGTCTGTAAATTTTGGGTCAATTTTCACAAAATTCATACTCGGCCATCCTTAGGGTGTAACGGTGATATAATAATACATTTTTTTAAATCGGATAAAAATTATGACCTCTATAGGGTCCACAAGCTAAAAACGTGATTTTTTGTACAATCAGGGGCCATAATTCAGGAAGTTACGGTCCGATATGCGCGAATATCGAAAGGAACCGAGATCTTTGGGTTATCAACTTACATTTCAAGTTTCAACAAAATCGGATAAAAAATGTGACCTCTATGTTGTCCACAGGCTAAAAACGTGATTTTTCGTACAGACAGGGGCCATAATCCATGAAGTTTCGATCCGATACATGCCAATATCGAAAGCAGCCGAGATATTTTGGAGATAAACCTATATTTCAAGTTTCGTCAAAATCGGATAAGAAATGTAACCTGTAGAGTGTCCACAAACAATTGTGGACGGACGGACGGACAGGGGCGACGGCAAAATACGTCCACATGAAAATGTGGGCATATAAAAATTGTGACTTCTAAAGTGTCCACCACTCATTGAAATCAGATTATATCAGATAAAAATTATGACCTCTAGAGGGACCATAATCTAAAAACATGTTTTTTCATACAATCAAGGGTCATAATTCAGGAAGTTACACTGATATGTACGAACCAAGATTTTTGGGGTTGTAGAGATTAATTTCAAGTTTCTTAAAAATCGGATCAAAATTGTGGCCTCTAAGAGGATCCACAACCTTGATGTACCATATTTTTACACTATTTATGCACGAGGGAAAGCTATTTTTTCCGGCAGTTTTGGTCCGATTTTCTGGGATCACGTGGCTAAGTGGCTACGACGCTGGCTCACTAGCCTGGAGGTCAGGTGTTCGATCCCTGCTTTGCCGAGAAAGTTTATCCAGATTTTCCGGCGTGGTTTCCCCTTGTCAGTGATGCAGGATGGAGGGCCTGACAAGGACAGCTGTTTTAGTCGTTCGGATGGGACGAAAAACTGAGGTCCCGTGTACACATTGGCGGGCATGTAAAAGACCCGTTGGCAGTTGGAATTCGATATAAGACTAGGCCATAGCGCCACTGCCCAGGCAAAATTTCCCTCATAGCACACTGTATGGTGTATGCGCGTCTTCATTAGCCCAGGTTAGGAGCAGAACAGTAGGACGTTAAACCCCATTTCATTTCATTTGGGGGATCACGTGGCTAAGTGGGTAAGACGCTGGCTCGCTAGCCTGGAGGTTGGGTGTTCGATCCCTGCATTGGCCGAGAAAGTTCATCCAGATTTTCCGGCGTGGTTCCCCCTTGTCAATGATGCAGGACGAAGGGCCTGACAAGGACTGCTGTCTAGTCCTTCGGATGATACGAAAAACCGAGGTCCTGTGTATACATTGGAATGCACGTAAAAGATCCCTTGGCAGTTGGAATTCGATATAAGAGTAGGCGATAGTGCCGCTGCCCGGGCAAAATTTCCCTCATAGCACACTGTATGGCGTATGCCCGTCTTCATTAGCCCTGTATAGGAGCAGAACAGTAGGACGTTAAACCCCATTTCATTTCATTTCATTTGGTCTGATTTTCACAAAATTCGAACTCAACCATCATCAGGGTGTAATGGTGATATACATGTATTAACACATTTTTTTGTTAAATCAAATAAAAATTGTGACCTCCAGAGGATAAAAATACGATTTTTCATACAATCAAGGGCCATAATTCAGGAAGTTAATATCAAATATACGGAAATATCGAAAGGAACCATGATCTTGTATTTCAAGATTCATCAAAAACGGATCAAAATTGTGATATACCATATGTTTACCCTTATTTGCGTACTTGGAGGCGGCTATTTTGTCTGGCAGTTTTGGTCCGATTTTCACGAAATTTAAACTCAACCAACACTACTGTGTAACGGTGATATATTCGAAAGTAGCAATAACAATTGAAACTACACTTTCCTTCTAACGGCAATAACTCCACTCAGAATGAAATAATTTCAATATCTAATAGTAATAGTAATATAGTACCAGGCATTTCCCCAACTAACAATGACATTTTAATGTGTAAAACTTATATACCCACCACTATTCAGTTCATAGACCAGGTCCAGAAAAGGGGCTAAATTTTGGATGTTTGTGTTGTGTCCAGTTCACTGACATTTAATTGGCTGGTATGATAATCTAAACAACATGTCCGACTTGATAGCATTATTACCCGTATATGTTGACAACTATAAAACCTGCCTGCTATTGGGAGTATCAAATGACATCATTTATTATAATATTAATCGGTATCATTTCTGGGGAATCAGTTGTTTATATATTCCAAAAACCAAGTTTTATCATTAGAAAGAATTGTAGTGGATGCTAGAATGAAGAATTGACATCTTTCAATAAAGGTGAGCTATTTATAATTATATTCTTTCTGAAAACAGAACATATGTGAAATGAAATGGAGTTTAACGTCCTACTGTTCTGCTCCTAACCTGGGCTAATGAAGACGGGCATACGCCATACAGTGTGCTATGAGGGAAATTTTGCCCGGACAGCGGCACTACGGCCTACTCTTATATCGAATTCCAACTGCCAAGGGATTTTTTACGTGCACGCCAATGTGTACGCGGGACCTTGGTTTTTCGTCCCATCCGAACGACTAGACAGCTTTCCTTGTCAGCCCCACCGTCCTGCATCACTGACAAGGGAGAACCACGCCGGACAGAACATATGTATTATGTAGTTTAATTGGATAAGGATTTGCATGTTTTAACCCGAGACAAGGTACATGTACTGTAGTTGTGTGTATTTTCGTACAGAATTTGCAAATACATGTACTTAACTAGATAAAATTTAAATTGCGCATTTCATTTTAAAATTAAAGTAACATTTCTTAAACTGTCATTTTAAGTATGGTGAATTAACTTAATGATGAAGTTGATAGATAACAGCTTAACACTGTTACATATGGAGGCAGACTATTTATAGCAATTCTCTCTCTCTCTCTTTTCTCCCCTTTTTGCATGCCCATTTTTGTTGATTTTTTGGTCTAGAATGGACGAATAGGGTTTGAATTAACATTTTCTGCCAGGTTTTGGTAAATATTCATGATTTTGAGGCGGAAGGATAACAGGGTTATCAGGTTGGCTATGGTGATATGTATGGCAACTAGTTACATGTTTTAGTATGCGTTTTCATGTTTGTGTATCCCAAAATTTTGGTGGTCAACCTCATACAAATTTTAGTGCAAAGACATGACCATTTGTTCCTCTGTCTGTAGTGAAAAGCATTCAGCCCAACGAAAATTTGGGGAAAAGTTGGAGGTGGGCAAAGAGGCCAGAATTAACATTGAAGTCAATGGGGAAATTAATGGTGGTCTGCCTCCATATGGAGACTGTCATATAACTAATATTCTAACCAACCCAATACATAACACATTCTTATTATTCAAGGAAGAACACAGATACCAGACCAGAGCTGTTATTTTAATTTGAGAGGGGTCATTTCATCCGGTTCTGATTTTTATACGACTACATGTTTCTGTGGATGTATACTGATGTCGCCACTGTCCATTTGTCGGCCGATGTTGACAGAACTTGAAATATGGCCATATCTCCCAAAGATCTTGGTTTCTTTCGATATTGGACCGGGTCTCGGTTTTAGCTTGTGGATCCTTTAGAGGTCACAATTTTCATCCAGTTATATATTTATATCCCAAAGATCTGGGTTCCTAATGTTGATACTTCAGACCGTAACTTGCTGGATTATGACCACTGATTGTACCAAAAAAAGGCCTTTTTGTTAGCTTGTTCTGTCCATCTAATGAAAACGGGCATATGCCATACAGTGTGCTATGACTCTATGAGAGAAATTTTGCCCAGGCAGCTGCACCATGGCTTACACTTATATCGAATTCCTACTGCCACGGGATCTTTTACGTGCACGCGCATGTATACCCTGGCAGTCGGTTTTGGTACCATCCGAACGACTGGACGGCTGTCCTTGTCAGGCCCTCCGTCCGGCACCACTGACAAGGAGAAGCCAGGCCGGAAAATCCCAAAGAACTTTCTCGATTGATGTAGGGATCGAACATACGACCTCCAGGCTAGCGAGCCAGTGTCTTACTCACTTAGCAACCGTGGCTCTCAACGATTTAAGATACTGATGATCAATAAAAATGTAGACATTTTAGAATGTTTGGGAGCTTTTGTATACAATTTGTTCATGTCTTTGTAAAGTGTATCTTTGTATAGTTATGTACATGTATATGTATCTTTGCTTACTGCATGTATCTTTCTATTATTTTTATTTGTATATGCACATAATCTTGTAATTTTTTTACGCAATAAAGTTTCTTCTATAGAATCAAATTTAAAATATAAAAAGCTTAGTATAACTTTCTGTAATATTTGAATCAAATTTATTTATTAAATTTTTTTTTTTTTTTTTTCAACATTTAATTTGAATGTGAATTAAAAGTCTCATATAGAAACTGATCCAAAACCATCTAAATATAGAGCAGTGTAATGTGATACTTAGCATGCCCTAAACACCACATCATCTGTATCAGATAATTAGGATACAACATTGTCTTTGACAAGTTGATGACAAGATTCTCTTCAACAGAACTGTATTGCTTGTGGGGGTCGCATTCCTAAATTTGAGGAAAAATGGCTAATTTCCACCTAGTCCAAGCACTGTATTGGTAATTGTATCTATAACGGCCGATATATTTCGCTGTCAACATCTGATATCGGTCAAGGTATAGTAGCCATATCGGACAATCACTATCCATGCATGATGTAAAATTGTTCTTTTCTATTCCACTTGGAAAACAGAACTGGATGTTGACTCATCTAGGTAGGTTTTCTCAACTGTGACTCTTAATATTAATTTCTGAAATTCAGTGTCCGATATACAAACAATTTCAAACTCAACTTTACTCACCGACCGACTCAGACCCCCTCTTGCCCATCACAGAACCATTTAACAAGGCCAAAATCGAACTAATCCGTGATCTTTGGGATACAGACAGACAGGGGAGACAGTATATATAAATACATACAAAAATACAATATACAAACCTTTCCTATAGAGCTTCTATTTTAATTTACTTGTCACCTTCAAGATTAAATGCCAGTTAATGGGTCTATAAATCAAAATGTCTTTCTGGAAAGAAATAACGCATACATCATTAAGAATTTGAATAATTCAGAAAGTAACTGTAACATTTCAGATGAACATTTCACATTTCAAAATTTATTGGATTACTTAAAATCTAAACACAATTTTCAATTTTCTGACAAGATGAAGAATCAACCATTTAGAAAAGTTCTTTCTAGCATCTCATGTACTTTAATATTTGTTAAGTAATTAACTGTGTAATCTTAGGATTTAAAATTTTTATTAATTAATTCTACTATCAAGAATTATGACATCTACCGATTTCTTTGTTATTGCAATTCAAAATGGTTAATAAATTCAACATCTTTGTCCTTGCTTGTGAATCCACTGAAACACATGCATGAAAAATCGGATAATAATTGTGATCTCTAGAGGGACCACAAGCTAAAAATGCGATTTTTCGTACAATCAGGGGGCCATAATTCAGGAAGTTACGATCCAATATGCACGAATATCGAAAAGAACCAAGATCTTTCGTTTATAAACATGCATTTCAAGTTTCATCAAAAATCGGATAAAAATTATGACCTCTATAGTGTCCACGAGCTAAAAACGTGATTTTTCATACAATCAGGGGCCATAATCCATGTAGTATCGATGCGAAAGATGCCAATATCGAAAGGAACTGAGATCTTTTGGAGATAAATATATATTTCAAGTTTCGTCAAAATCGAATAAGTATTGTGACCTGTAGAGTGTCCACAAACAAATTGTGGATGGGCAGGGGCGAAGACAATATACGTCCACATGAAAATGGGAATCCAAATAAATATGCAATTGTGAAGCCACAATTGTGAACGGGCCGGATAACTGGCATCAAAATTCTCTAAAATCCAAAGAAATAAAATAATTTTTTAAAAATAACCTTTGGTTATCCTAGTTTGATAAAGTACCAAAATATATTAAACTGAAAATTCTGACTAATGCTTGACTGAACATTTCTGTTAACATTATAATAATAATAACAAGCCAACAGTGAGGCCCATGTCCCCTGCCGAAATCTCAAAATAAACAGAAGACACATTAATTAATAGCACATTTACCTTTTTCAAAAGTAACAAGCCATCAAACTGATTGTCAACTATACACTAAGTTTCATCGCTCTCTATCAGATAGAATCAAAGTTATCTTGTCCCAAAGCATCAACCAATGAAATTGCTTAGCTCTGCTTAGCTTTAGCTCGAAATGTTAATCATTGAACTCAGTCAAGACATTATTCACCTAATGAACATAAACATTCTACCTCAATTAAAAGCAGACTTGTTATGTTCCAAAGTCTTGACCAATCAAACTGCTTATCGCTCCTTAGCCTAAGCAGAAAATTCTCATCATCGAACTTAGTCAAAGTATTGATATATATTATAATGAATCTATACTCAGAGTTTCATCACTTTCACTTAATTGAAACCAAAGTTATCGTGCCCCAAAGCATCAACCAATCAGATTGCTTATATCTGCCCACCGTAAGCAGACAATGTTTATCATCGAACTCCATCAAGGCATTCACCTAATGAACGCCTACAATAAGTTTGAACATTCTTCTACATCAGTTAGGAGAGTTATAGTGTTCCAAAGTCTTGACCAATCAAAATGCTTATCGCTCCTTAGCCTAAGCCGAAAATTCGCATCATCGAACTTGGTCAAGGTAATGATATAATGAATCTATACTCAGAGTTTCATTACTCTCACTTAATTAAAACCAAAGTTATCGTGCCTCAAAGCATCAACCAATCAGATTGCTTATCTCTTCTAACCGTAAGCAGACAATGTTTATCATCAAACTTCATCAAGGAATTCACCTAATGATCATGAACCCTACATTAAGTTTGAACATTCTACCTCAATTAGAAGGAGAGTTATTGTGTTCCAATGTCTCGACCAATCAAATTGCTTATTGCTCTGCTTACCCTGAGCAGAAAATGCTCATTATTAACTTAGTCATGGTATTGATGTAATAAAAATATACACCAAATTTCATCACCCTCACCTAATTAGAACTAAAGTTATTGTGTCCCAAACCTTCATCAATCAAATTGCTCATCTCTGCTTACCCTAAGCAGAAAATGCTCATCTTCGAACTCCAACAAGGCACTGACCAAATAAACACCTACACCAAGGTGGATTGTTCTAGCACAATTAGGAGAGTTATTGTGTTCCAAAGTCTCGGCCAATCAAATTGCTTAACGCTCTGCTTATCCTGAGCAAAAAATGCTCATTATCAAACTTAATCAAGGTATTGATGTAATGAAACTATACATCAAGTTTCATCACTCTCACTTAATTAGAACTGAAATTATTGTGTCCCAAAGTTTTGAGTTAAGATTTAAAATGGCCCACAGATGGTAATTGTTTCATTGACTGTGGTAGTCTATACCATAGAAAAGGACCAGCATAAGAAAAGGAACGTTTTCCAAGTTGTAAGTTAACAACTGGAGATTTTAGAAGATGTTTTTTTCTGAGAACGGAGATTTCTGCTGGTAGTATAGGTGTGTGTGAAATAGCTTTATTTAACGTCTGCTTTCACCAAGGTGATATCGCAGACAAAATGGTATGTAGCACCATGGGCCTTCTGTCAGACGTGGAGAGCGGGCCATTGATTCCGGTCGCCACATCCTACGTACGACCCATGCATCTTTTCATACTACATATCTTAGTAGCCTTGTGATCGTCTAGAATTTGTCTCTAGCTGTCTTTACTTCTGCTTCACGTTGTGCATTTACTTCTTACTGTTTTCTTAAGACCTTTGTCTTACCAGGAATAACAATGCAACAGTTCGTTTTTACATTTTATATATACTGAGCGCCATGGAAAACGCATCACTTAGTTTTTCATATAACAAAATGATCCTGTAAACATCTTATTTATTTTGCTTCTTATTGTGAACAATATTCAAATGGGAACACATCAATAACAACACATTTGTACACTTATGGATGTTCAATCTGTAATCAACGGTACAAAGTCAGAGGGGTCAAAACCAAAAGTATGACACAGATGTCAGTAGCGCGTGTGTCCTCCACGGGCTCTTACGCATGTTGTGCAGCGACGTCGCATGGAATTTACCAATGTTTGAAAGAAGGCCTGGAGTATATCGTATAGAAATGAAATGAAATGGGGTTTAACGTCCTACTGTTCTGCTCCTATACTGGGCTAATGAAGACGGGAATACGCCATACAGTGTGCTATGAGGTATATTTTGCCCGGGCAGCGGCACTATCGCCTACTCTTATATCGAATTCCAACTGCCAGGGGATCTTTTACGTGCATTCCAATATATACACGGGATCTCGGTTTTTCGTCTCATCCAAAGGACTAGACAGCTGTCCTTGTCAGGCCCTCCGTCCTGCATCACTGACAAGGGGGAACCAAGCCGGAAAATCCGGATGAACTTTCTCGGCCAATGCAGGGATCGAACACCCGACCTCCGGGCTAGCGAGCCAGCGTCTTACCCACTTAGCCACGTGATCCCCCGTATATCATATAGCTGCTTACTTATAGTACAATGCATAATAGAATAAAGTCTGTCTTATACACTAGCCAGACTCGCTGGTCGAGTCTGCTGATAGAAACTGATACATCTTTTAACTTTCAGAATCACATGTTTTTTGAAACAATCTATCCTTGATCTTAGACCCTTTTTCCAGTTATTCTCAGCTATTTCCTAAACAATTAATTTGCGTTTTAAATAAACTCATACCATAGCTAATATACTGACAATAGAGAATAATTTGTAAAGATAAAAATATTATTTAAACCATCTTATATCTCTATTCCTTGTCTATGAATTTAAAAACAATGTCGCACCGACGATATTACTACAGGTGAAAGTGGATGTTAAATAGTATAGGGTTCTACAAGACTTTTTATATAAGATATGGAGCTTGGCCGTTTAACGCTTTGACGACGAAGGGGACTAACTTGAACTTAATTCTTTGCTGAATTGGGAGCCAATGCAATACACGGGAGATGTCTTGATGTTTTCTAGTTTAAGTGAGGGGAGTCGAGCTGCTGAATTTTGAACATGTTGTAGTTTGTTAATCTGATAAACTGTATAGTAAACCATTGTGGTAATGTAGTTTAGTTGAGTTGAATGCGTGAATAAGTTTTTCTTTAGTTTCATAATTGAGATCACCCCTGTACTAAGGTCAATTCACTGGCTTCCAGTGCAAGCGAGAATCGACTTTAAATTGATGTCTCCCACATATCAATGAATTTACTGTGAAATGCCATCTTATCTGAAATAACTGGTGGTACCTTACATGCCATCGAAAAAGCTAAGATCAAGTACTAAGAACAACCTTGTTGTCCCAAAATATAAACTAAGCTCCTTTGGAGCTCACCCATTTAGTGTTGTTGCTGCCAATTTGTGGAACACGCTACCTGAAAATCTTCGATCCAGTCCATCATTAGACTCCTTTAAACCCAGGTTGAAAACATACTTATTTGAGAAATATTTGCAAGAGTGATTGTGTGTTTTGTAGCGCTATGAGCACGACTATATGTGGAATTAGCGCGATATAAATGGACTTATTATTATACCGTTATGACGGTCATAATGGTCATAATGATAGGCTACTGATGTTGCAACATAGACAAATTTCAGTCTAAAATCGAACTTACTAGTACTAACAACCGTATTATCAACACATAAAAATGTATTATCGGTATTCATAATCAAAGATAGACCAAATCCAAAGCTCACATCTCTCTAGTATCAGTAATTAAGAGTATACATAGATAATTTAATTAGACAGCTGATAAATTATGTATAACATAAGATTCTTGATGTTGAAGGAGCACACACATAAAACAGTATGTGATACTATTAATCAAAGGCACAACCATCAATGTTTTATGGGTGGGTTAATTTTATATTGTTCAACAGTGTTGATTAAAATGAACATATGGTCAGTATCACCAACTTCCCTTTAATCCAGTTCCAATGTCCACCGCCTCCTCCAACCAACCCAACCCAGAATGATTTT